CCTATGGAAGTGTCATGGAACCTCAGATGTCATATCATTGTTTTCCATGTCCCATATCATCAACATTATAGACACCACAAGATTAAACACAACTACCATCTCCCAAATAGTCTTATGCATAAGGGTAAGTAACAAACATAATTCATTGGTAGGTTGTCCATGTTTACCTAATTCATCAAAAAGAAATCATCCAATAATGTTGTTATCACCCATAAAGGGTCTCTCAAACAAAATGGTGTAATGTGATTATCAATGTGCTCCAACTAATACACACACATGTATATGGTATTCTTATTAGGAAATATGAAGTCAATTATTTTAGTTTGTAGTTTTATTAAATAATCTTAAAAACATGAAGTTTATCAATCTTACATACAACTAAAAACAATCGTAAGCATAAAAAACATAATAAATTCTATGTTACTTCATCATATTCCCCAATATGTAAATAATATTATTCTAGTCAAAGTCTTCAACCTCACAAATCTTCTAACAATCAAAAACAAAATGTGTCAAGATAAGTATACAAAGGGCCAATACACAATAATGTACAATTGTCCAAAATAAATGAAAATACCTGAGTAGTGGGTTAAACGTCGAACTGGTGATCCAATACACTGTTAACAAAGTAAAAACTAGTTTACTAAAACTAAACATGGCACAATGCAAAAACAAAAATGAAAGCCATAGTAATTATTACAATTTTCCCTAATATTGAAGATGTGTTCATGCGCTTAGGATAATATGTGTTTGTGACTATGTCCCACGAACATCGTGTAGGTGTGCGTGTGTGTGACTATATTTAATATATCAGTTAATCTGTATTTCTTTCTGTCTGTTGGGTATGAGATCACACTAATTAAACATACACCCACCCCCCACACACACAGAGCAAAAGAAACACAAAAGAAGTAGGATATCACACTAATTAAACACACACACAAAGCGAGAGAGAGACAATAAAGGTAGGAGATCACACTAATTAAACATACACCCATACACAACAACACACACATAATGACAAAGAGACCGATAATAGGTGTGATTATAAATGTATCTATGTCTATGTTATACTCTTTTGTGTGTGTGTGTTACTCTTTTCTGTGTGTCTGTGTTCATACATTTAGGACGAACCATTTTTGCTGGGTAGAACAATATACAGAGACAAAGGTAGAGAGGAGGTACACAGAGAAAGCGATCGAGTGAGAAAGTCATGGTGGGGAAGAGGGAAGCACAGAGCAACTAGTACTAAAATAACTAAGATACACCCACATAAAGCTAAAGAGAGACAGAAAGACAGAGACATAGAGCGAAGACGAGATGAACCCATAATAGAGACACAAATCCAGACACTGGCAAAGAATAGAAACAACGATACACTATTATTTGTGATATATATATATATATATAGAGAGAGAGAGAGAGAGCCTTGCCAATGGAGACCACTTTGGCGTCGTTCCAAAGTTTTAGTGGGTTTTGTTTATCCACTTTAGAGGGGGATAACGAGCCCAAAACCTCCGGGCCCAATTTTTTCAAAACCAACAATTATCCAGCCTCCAAGCGCCTGTGTTGGTATGTGAGTTTTTTTTTTTTGGGTGGGTGGGTTTGGAATATGGGTTGGAGAATAAACCCCCTCAAACCCATATTTGGCAAATACGCATGTAGTATAGGGTTTGAAACTCGACCCAGTTTAGGCCCGATCATGAAACCCAGAGGGGTGAGTTTCATATGTGGGTTAGTGGGTTTAACATGTAAATCACATTTATACCCTCATATATCCTATATGGCCCATATATACAAATTCATTAAGGGGCATAATTGTGACGCCCCTAGAACCGGGGGTCCTTTATTAACCGTTGACTATCCGTCAACCTGCGAAAATACCCTTATTTGTCGCACAACTCAACGTCACGTCAATAACATCCCCTTAACCGGGATTATAATCCACACGTGTAATTCATGTACATTTTATCATTTAATCAAATTGTGGTCCAATGTACCACATTTCATACTCCATTATAATTCATTTACATCATTTGGAAGGAAGGACACATGGCCCAGGAGCATGGCAAACAGTTTTAAAGTTTCAGATTTTTGGAAGGCTTACCAGTAGTAGGGCATACCAGTAGGGTTAGCCTACTGAAAAATTCCTACTGGTAGGGTTTGCCTACTGAACAAAGGTGTACCGATAGGCTTTGTCCAATTTTGCTTGTTTCACCTATTTTTTATTTCCAATTCATTTCAAAATGTATTATTTCCATCCAAAACCTACCCGAACTCATATAACACTATATTTGCACTTTAAACATAGTTGATACCAGTTCTTTAACAATCATTTACATACGATTACATAACAAAAATATAAATTTTCACAATGTTTTACAAAATATGGAGTAAAGACCACAAGTAGGCCTCTCTTCATCCTCGAGACCCCGAATGAACGTCATCCGCCGGTGTATATCCTGCACCTGAAATGTTTTTCTATATAGGGTGAGCCACGCTCAATAGAGTATCCCCTACAGAAGCTACTCCCCCAACCTAGATACATATGTAATGTGCGCATATACAATCATCAAGCATCATCCATTCCAATTTAGTATATGCAATTCCATGTTAAAATTTTACCATATTATACCATGAAATGAGATGAGACTCACTCATGCAATGTACCCCGAGCCTTCCCAGCTCCCTTCACACCATGCAATGCTACATATATAAAAATCTCAGGGCATTCGAAGCCCCCGTTATTGATGTTTCACAACCGAATGACTATTTTATAAACAAGTTCATGTGTCTTTATTTGGGTATTCGAATTCTCAGAGTCTCATCGCCGGTTCCGCACACCGTTACACTTTTCCGAAATTATACCTCAGGGGAATGTATGAACCAAGTAGCCGGGTCATGCACCCAAGGACATGTCTAGCCTTTCTTGCTATATCCGACACAAGTTTTTCATGCAACGTGCGACTTGATCGAATATTCAATCCTAAGTTTTCGAGCCCACCCATCAACTTTCAAGTGTAGTGTTTGATTAAACCATGTACTCACACACCCACACTCATGCATAAATGTCTATGAATGTGATGCTAATTTCATGCCCTAAATGCAATGAATGCCAAATGAACAATTTAACCGCACATCATCATATCTCATGACAATGTATATCTTAAGCATATAATTACCACAATTTATCATGATGCTAATATATTAACAACATGTATTAACAATAATTCACAAGCATGTTATTACACTATCTATGTTAATAACATACTTTATTCACAATGCATAATATAAATACATATCATGCCCACATAATACCAAATTCGTGGAATTACACAAGTAATTTTCACATATTAATTCCAAGTTAGAAATTTATTTTAAACCATTCTATACCTATTTTCTCATTTCCATAACAATAGGTAAGTGATATATATAACTATACACCTACCCCATTCCATACGAACACCTTAGGTTAGAAAATAAACCTAAGTAGGAGGTAACCCTACCTTTTTGAAGCATAAAACGAAGAGTAAAACTTTAAGAAGACCTCCCAAGCTCTAAAACTCTTGATTTTTTCAAATCTCCTATTTGGATCTTCGGTGAAATCCTTCGTTCTTTGTATCATTGTGTAGCCTTCGGCGAGGAGAACAACTTTCCTTCTTGGCCCGAGCAGATTTGACCGCTAGAATTCCGTAGATCGTAAAGAGAAGGTGGAGATCTTCCATTTTTTCCTCTCTTCCTCTCTTACGTTAAAACTGGCTGAAAAATGGGGAAAAATCTGATATTTCTCCCCTTTTTATACTCCCAAAACACTTGGCCCACAATGCACCATGCGTCATTTTTTTTTTCGGGTCCGTTTTCGTCCCGAAACGATTAAATTTTGTTCTGATTCAAGTTCAAAATATTTTTATTTTAATTTGTCTTAAATTAATTTTCGAATTTCAAAATTTTATTAAAAATTTTATTTTTGAGTCACTCGAGACTCGACCGTCTCATAAAACGTAAAAAATTTGACTATTTCGGAATTCGACGAAAATTGATGGGATAGCTAGATTTTACGAGACGAATCCAACGATGAGGTCCATTTTGTCATTCGAGTTCTAGAAAAATTCAGATTTACAACCCGTATTGTAGGGACAAATTACCATTTTTCTCTTTTTCATAAAAAGTTTAAATTTACCAAGATTTTACAACAATAGTCATTTATATATCCCTGTGTATAACAAACATGGGTATGAACAACATTAAATGTTGAATCTTATCTTTGGGTTTAAACAAGTCAATCCAAACCTTTTTCAAAAAATATATCAAACAACCTCCAAATGACTTGACAAATCAAGAATAAATGGGCCCCACTATTTTTTTATCAAATTCAACTTTTGTTATCCTGGTTTATCCTTCAAGCCAAACACACCTATTGAGTTTCATTTAACCTATGTAAATAAGTTAAAGTTGGCTTTTCAAATTGGATTGGAATAAACCCAAGTGAAATTTTTGGTGCACTTTTTTTCTTACCAAACGCAGAATAAATGAGTCTCACATATTTTTTTTGTCCTATCCGACTAGTGTTATCTTTCTTTAACCCATGATCCAAATAAACCCAAAGTACACATGTGTTATTAATATTCACACAAAAAGCACTTATCAAATATCAAGAAAATTTGGAAAGGTAGTTTTTTCTTATAAAGTTCACAACTCTTCCACAATAATTCAATAAAAAAAAAGAGAGAAAGAATTTTGAATTACCTTCCCAAACAGTTAAGTTTGCCTCATAATTTTCTCAATTTTTTTAAATTTATATAAAAATATATTTACAGGGGATTGAGAAGTACATATAAATATGGTTTTGAAAACCCATATTTGGGATGCTGAATAACTTACGTTGGGCACATTTCCGAACCAATGTTGGCCTCCTTCGTTGCCAAGTGACAAGTAGAGAAGCAGGAGTTACGAAAAGCTCACCTATATATACACATTCCTAGGGTTTCGCAGACCACGAAATGGCAGCAGCAGCAATAGTAACGAACGCTGCAAAGCCACCCAGTTCTTCTTCCGCAGCAGATTCTTACATTGGTAACTTCATAGCTTGATATCGAAGTCTAAGATTCGATATCAAGGGTTTCTCTTTCACCTCAACCCTCAAGAGTCCGTCATTGGATTGCGAAACGGTATATATAACAGCTCTCTGTCTCGTTGTCTATGAGATACACGCGCACTCACACTTTGATATTACGTTGTTTTTGGTTTTTGGTTTTGATTTTCTTGACTTGTTTTTCTTTTTGTTGTTGTGGTTACATTGATTTCTTTCTTAACCATTTGATTCATATTCTTCATATTACATGCGAATATATGTGGAGTTTCTCACGTGACATATTGATGTATGATTCACGAATGAGAACATGAAAATAATGTACTAATTAATTGGTGGCTTTTCAAAAATCATATCTGATTTGAAAAACAAATTATTGGTTTTGTCAACAGTTATTTAATACTATTTAACTAAGGCTCACTTGGATAGACGAAAGATAAGAGCGCTATTTCTTCATTGATTTGTTACTAATGATGGGCTTGTTGAGTATGTTGAAGCTTTTATCCAGATAAAATATCAGGTTGGAAAATCAAAATAACTACCTAAAATTGGATTAGGTAAGAGATTCCATTATTTTGAGGTTATTAGGTTTTTAAATTGGAAATTGAATCACATAACCAAATTTTAATGAACTTTAAACCTTATTTCTTGGTGAATCTTCTCTGCATCATACTCGCGTTGAGTTCCAAAATCCAAATTGCCTCATAAAACCTGGACCAACAATTTTGTTTGGAGGCTGATTGAGCTAATGTTGATAGAAGTTGGTTAAAGCATATTCAATCTCTTAGTGTGACATTTAAATTGCATGAGACTGTCTGAGATCATTTGTATTGACCATGTATGATGTTTTGGTATCATCTGTCTAATATTAAAGCTAGGAAGTTGACTTTTCAGCTTGCAAAAGCACAACAATAGTTAAAATTGATTCAATTTTCATCTAATTTGATTTAATAGTACAAAATTCATTCCAAAATTTTTTCCCTGCTAAAAATATTGCACGATGCTAAATTAGACAACTCAAAAAACACACTCCCCAATGTTAAATTACCTCATTAATCCAACCTAACTCTCTCTTCTCTTTCTTGTACGCCTCTCTTATTTTTTCTCTATTAATTTTACTTTTAAATTGCATAATTAAAGAAAAAAAAATTACTATTTAAAATATAAATATGACACAATGAATATTCAATTTTTGATATTGCAGAGTGTTTTTAGGCACGGGGTTATTATTGGCAATGAAATGATTATTTGTATCCTTCAATGGAGATCTTGCCCACTCCCTCTAAAACCAAAAAGAGAGACCCTTCGGGCCTGCGGGGTGTTTGGGGGGGGGGGGAGGATAGAGCTAAAAATTAATATGAGAAAAACAAGGGCAAAAATGCACAAGATTGATTTCTCTAAATAGATTTCCTGATTAAATGACTTCGTCTTGTGATGTGATGTTACGTGAGTTAGTTTGGTGAACTCGACACTATGAAGCACAAACACGCTTTTCTGCCTCACGTAGCCGTGTCCAACATGTCTGGGACATGGGCATGTGTCGAATACGGGGAAAAGAGCTGAAAAATGTCCCTAACACGTCGGGACATGTTTTTGTGTAACTAGTTTCAAATAACTCGCCCAATGTGCGTTGTTACTTTGATCGAAAAGTACCAAATAAAGTTGACGACAATAATGAAAAGGAAGACACAGACAAAGGGCATGCCACGTAGAATTGACGAGGATGAAAAATCGAAAAGGACATGATGTTGTAGACGAGGAGAGAAAGAGAGAGACAATTCACATATTTGATGTCAGCCGAAATGAGAACTGAGTCTACCAAGAGATGGAGATTCACGGTGGTTTGGTCTCTAGTTCTCACCTGTTATCCTTACCCTTTAATACAACGTGTTTATTGATTATTGGATGTACCATATTATTCATATCAACTTAAATGATCAGATGCGGTGGACACTTTACAAATGATTCATGGTTTTGGACAGGAGAGTAGACTCTTTTTTAGTGTTTTTGATTAGTTGGTCATTTGGCTTTATTTGTTCATCTGTGTTTTCCAACAAAATTGGAAAGCCATTTGTAACTGAATTTTCTTTTTGGTTAGTTTGGTTTTTGCTTTTGTTTTTTTTGAGTGGATTTCTTATCCACCGCTAATGTACTTTTTCATCTTTCAATGAAGTAAAGTGTTGTGTCTTATTTAATTTTTTTTTTGGGTCATTGTATATCATTATTTGGGCTGCTGTATATGAATATTTGGGCCAATTTGTTAGTCAATATTTACAGTAAAGAAACCTATGGACTAAAATATAAATTGGGCTAAGTATGTGAAGCCAATGTTAATAAATATTAAATGGGCCCAATTTAAGAACTCATGGTTATAAAAAAATTTGAATTTGACCAAATATGTAAACTCAGAATCTTAAAAATAATATATATGGATATATTATTTAACGTATACCCAAAGTATCTTTGTCTGTGTCTCAATTTTTAGAGAAATGACATGTACATGTCATGTTGTATCCGTGTCCTGGTGTTTGTTGGTGCTTTTTAGACTTGATGAAAGAGCTGATTTATAATGAACTTCGATGGAAGCTTCTCTTGAAGCAATAACGCGTTGATCTAGTCGCCACTGGAGCCACAAAGGACTATCAGTCCTAATTGTTAGAGAAATGACGTGTCCATGTCGTGTCGTGTCGTATCTGTCCCGGTGTCCGTGTCGATACTTCTTAGACCTGATGAAAGAGCTTCACAAATTGAATGTGAAAATATTAGTTTTGTGGAGTTTGTTTTGAACCCTAATAAGATTCTATGCATATGCATTATTTTTAGTCTGTGTGGCAAAATATTGTGGGGGGGGGGGGGGGT